GGTACCGATAATAACCGGGGCCAAACAGAGACCAAAATATACTTTCCCAAAGAGTTGAGCTGCGCTAAATGCGAATATCGAATTGCACTTTCACATCAGATTTTCGGCGTCATGAAAAAACTCCCCACGAAATAACTCCCCAAAACAAAAATGAAATAACTCCCTTAAAATTTGTTCAGAAAGCAAAAACAACGAAATTTAATTCGTTTTTGGGGCATTATTTCACACTTAAAATGGGCAGTTATTTCATTATGAAATAATTCCTCAAAATTCAAAAATGAAATAAATCCCTAAAAATATTTTTGGGGAGTTATTTCATTATATTACTTTTATCACACGAAATAAAAAAATATATGTCTGATAGACGGCTTTTGGCCGGGCGCAAGGGTTTTATCCTCTGAGGTACAAAGGACACCGGCTTCGCTAAGAATACACTCTCCCTGTATCGAGAGTGTTCAGCCTTAGGCCGGCTATTTAGGAAATCTTTACTAAGCGAAGCCGGTGTTGGTCATATTATAGAGCGGTAAATCCTTGCGTCCGGCCATAGGCCGGCTATTTAGGAAATATTTATTAAGCGAAGCCGTTATTGGACATACCATAGAGTAAAAAGTCCTTGCGCCCGGCCGCAGGCCGCCTATTAAGGGAATCTTTATTAAGCGATTAAACTGAAATATATTAAACTTCGAAGCCACACTCGAAAGTATGAGCGACCTACATTTTTTAGAAATGTCACTAAAACCAACTTGTTCCATAATTTGTTATTTTTAAATGGGAACTTATTTTTAAATGGGAACTTCAGACATACAGGAAGATTGTTTCATATGAAATAAATCCCCAAAAATGGGGTGTTATTTCATTTTAATTTAGGAAGTTATTTCATTTCGTTGGGAAATTATTTCATAATGATATAAGTCCCCAAAATTGAGAACTTATTTAATTTTTGTTTTAGGGAGTTATTTCATGACGCCCAGATTTTCGTGAAAACATATCATAAATTTGAAAAACAGCGCCATATTTAGGATGTTATAATAGCGCATATAAAAGCCCAATCTGTCGACTTTAAATAAAGTTTTAACCTCTGTTAAATCGAAATTTCGTAATTTTTTTAATTTTGAGCTCATCGGGGTAAAATAATCATAAATTTATGAACTAAAAAAGTCTTTAAAAGACCCAACAAAATTCCAGTCAGGATTTTCAACCGTTGGTAATATTTTTACATATCCTTTCAACATAATTGTCATAAGGTACTTTAACTCTTTTATATACAGTGTCTCTCATAATTATTCGAATTTGGGTAAACTATAAAAAGAAACCAAATTTAATAATATATTTTGTGTGCAAAAAAAATAAATTAATTTGTTATATTGTCTAGATAGTCCTTATGTTTGATATCACGCTTTTTAAAACTTGAAAAATTTGCATTGACTTAAATTAATTGTGCTTTTTTAAAAAAAGTCCATGAAATTGCCTCACAAAAGTATACGAATTTTTCCTGTATTTCATATTTGATCATATTATACGCAACACAAATTTTAGAATCGAATGGTTTTTATGCGTAATATTGTTTTAAGGGGTTACTATCCACGGAAAGGATATATTTTTGGCCCATTTGGTCCACAATTTTGGGGAATTTGTACCCTCTTTTCATGTAATATCATTAAAATGGCGATTTTTGGCCATAATTGCAAATTTTTCTCCTTTTTCCAGATATAAAACAAAAATTTTATATTGGGACTTAAAAGACCCCTTGGGGTATCTAAAAATAATATTTTTTGTTACAAGAATCTGTATTTAAACGTCCCAAGATAAATTATTCGGGTCATTCTTCTGTCGCTAATTCAATATATTGGAACTTAAGTCCATTTTTATAATACTACGATCAACTATTTTCGGGGAAAGTTTTCTGGTATATATTCTTTTAGATATCAGCTTTAATACATTTTAAGTTTTCAATGTGTTGTGGAAGTGTAAAACTCCAAAACATGCCTCGAAGAAGCACCATTCAAAATAGTAAAATCATTATTTTTATATACCAATGGCCTCCATGCTGCATGGCACGATATCATTATGATCACATCAAAAATGTTGATATGTGTTTAAATATTATTTACTATGATCAAATTAAAACCAAAATTTAGGACTTACAGTGTTATTGTAACGGGCTACATAAGCGTGAAAGTTACGAGTAGTAAAAACTGAAATCTACTATATAGGATGACGTTTTGTTAAGGCATGTTTTGGGGTTGTATACCGCTATTATATATTGAAAATTTAAAATACATTAGTGCCAATATGTACATGAATATACACTAGACAACTTTGTCGGAAAATATCGTCCCTAGAGGTACGAAAAGGGACTTATGATCCAGATAATTCAATTAGAAACTGAAAAACGATACCAAAAAATACATCTTGGAACGTTTAAGTACAGATCCTTATAACAAAAAATATTATTTTTAGATACCCTATGGGTTCTATTAAATTCCAATATTAAATTTTGGTTTTATCTCTGGAAAAAGAGTGAAAACATACAAATATAGCCAAAAATCGCCATTTTAATGATATTACATGAAAAGGGGGTACAAATTCCCCAAAATTGTGGACCAAATGGGTCAAAAATATATCCATGCGGTTGATAGTAACCCCTTAAAACAATATTAAGCATAAAACCATGCGATTCTAAAATTTGTGTATCGTATAATATGATCAAATATGAAATACGGGAAAAATTCGCATACTTTTGTGAAGTAGTTTCATGGACTTTTTTTAAAAAAAGCACAAATAATTTAAGTAAATGTAAAGTTTTCAAATTTTAAGGGGCGTGATATCAAAACTAAGGACTATCTAGACCAACGGTTCCCAAAAGGGGGTCCGCGGACCCCTAGTGGTCCGTAGCAAAATCCTAGGGGGTCCGCGAAGACGAACGAAAAAAATCATGAATAAAAAATATTCTCTATATGTTAGAAAATATTAAAAATATCTCCAAATTTTTCGTAAATACTAAAATACACAATTTTTATTCAATAATCCCAGATTTGTTGGTGACTTTTTGAATTTTATTGTTTCGGTCGTTTATCAGGATGAAGCTAGGCCCTACAAAATTATTGTTTCACTTTTATAAAGTAAAGTATTACGTGATTTGTAATTTTTATAAATATTTATGTATCGAAATAAATGTTTTTATATCAGACGGATAATGATTTGCCTTAGAATTAAATACTGATACTGGTATCCCGGAATATGAAGTTAGGTCACATTTCATAATATTTTTTAAATTGTAAGCAAAAGTGTTAATCTAGTTAATTTTAAATATAAATATTCCATTCCGACGTGATACACAGATTTTAACTTCATTTTGTTGTCCAATATTATTAAATCAATATCAGAAAATTCATTGCGTTTTGCGTAAATAGTCAAAACCAGGCAGTGAAATAATTCGTAGGTATTTTAAAATTAAAATTTAAGATCCAAATTCACAGTACATTCGCAAAGACTTCATGTCATATTTTATGTGGATAACGCATTCCGCAACAACATCGAAGAAGTCTAACTTTCTCATATTTTCCCGAAAACTTAGCTTACATACTCAACTCACTCCTATGCAATCGCAAAAAAATTTGGAAACATGACTTTTTAAGCACATGTCGGCAATACTTGATAAAGAAACCTTTTCGCTACCTTGACGAGAAATGAACATGAAAGCTCTCACGATCATAAAATTAAACATCATGTTAGAAGTCATTCTATATTTAAAACCATGCAATTGAAAACATTTCCGAAATACTAAATATTCTCAATAAACGGGAATATTTTATAGGGTTTATGGACCAGGACAAAAACAATTTTCGGATGAACAATTATTTATAACAATAAGATATCAAAATATGTATGGGGGTCCGTGAAATTAAATAAATTCCTCAAGGGGTCCGCGAAGTAAAAAACGGTGGGAACCGCTGATCTAGACAATATAACAAATTAATTTATTTATTTTCAACACAAAATATATTATTAATTTGGTTTCTTTTCATAGTTTACCTAAATTCGAATACTTATGAGAGACACTGTATAAATCTTTTTCATATAAAGTGTTGGAAATAGAATCTGTCATATATCCAAGTCAATTGACAAGTTACATTATAATTCCTATAGAGTGTATAATACATATTCAATAGCAGATAGAAATCCTTATTATAACTTTTTAATTTATATTTTACGCTTGAAGTAATCTTATCAATATTTCAAACAAGAAGTAAAAATTTTGTGTTTTTTTAACAATAACAATATGAAAAGCATCCTCACATCTTTCATTTAATTCTCTCAAACATTCATACATACATATATTTTTGAATTGCCTAGACAAGCACATAAAAAAATATTAAACAAACAATAGAACATTATAGCCAACATACACAGATGTTAGTATTGTGTGAAAATTCCCGGATCAGTTGAAGATTTTAAATATTTCGTTTAGGGAAAAAGGGTATGGGTGGGGGTGTTTTTTTTTTTCATTTATTAATATTTGATTAACAAGTGTTAAACGGAATGTATACATATGAATTGTTCAGATATCAACAAATAATTTACAAGTTTATTGTGTTTGTTTGCTTGTTGTGGTCTTTAATTAATTGTTAACCATTTTTTATTCACACGCAACATTTTGTGGCATTATAATAATGAGGGGGTAACTTAACATGGTCTCATCATAAGGAAATAACAATTCAAGTGTTTTTTAAGGATTCCCAAAAAATATATATCTGTTTACAATAATAAGTAGAGATTAATTTCAATTTAACATCTTCATTAGGGAAAAAATTAATGCGTGTTTAAGGAGCATTAAAATTATGATAATATAAATATTTGTAGGAAGGGGGACGAAATTGTCTATAGAGTTTATTTTATTCTAATTATTAATAGATCTTTTTAATGGCATGTATCTGATTATTAACTGTTACAGTTTTTATATTATTATTTTAATGTTTAAATTTATTTTCGAATTTTAGTGGCTCGTCGCCGTCGCAAAGAGGGCAGACAACGTCGTCAACGTACCACGTTTAGTAATGAACAGACTTTGCGTTTGGAAGTGGAATTTCATCGTAATGAGTACATATCACGTAGTAAACGTTTTGAATTGGCCGAATCATTGGGTCTTTCGGAGACCCAAATAAAAATATGGTTTCAAAATCGTCGAGCGAAGGATAAACGAATTGAAAAGGCCCAAATTGATCAACAATATAGGTGAGTAATATAGTTTGAAAATTTTGGATTTGGAACAACCAATTGACCGGCTACTGCGTATTTATCGTTCAAATATTAGTGAACTGATACGGACTTAGTTTACACAAATATTTAACACATAGACCAAAGTATACATTTCTAAAGGATTTTAGCCATATTTGAAACGTTATAACAGCGTGAAAATAACTTTATTTATAAAATAAAGTCAACAGATTAGACTTTCAGACGACTGTTATAACACGAATAACGGTGTTTTTGCAATCTATATGATACGATATCTGGAAAACCTATGATAGCGAAATTCTTAGATTTCGATGATTTGAATTCATCGTTGCCCAATCCTTTAGAAAACTATACATTAGTCTCTGAGTTTCGACTTTTATGTTCAAAATATGTTGGTTCCACTGTTCTAACAATGTTTTGAATGTGAATGATTTTTGGATGTAAAGGATTTCGCTGACTTGACAATCTTTTGCCGAGTATGACTCGGTTCGTTTCGGAGCGAAAGATGAAAATAAATTTTGATTGATTTGAATACAATGATAGAATAGGATAAGTTTTATTACATTTTGCATGAACATGGAGTGTATTGCAGAGCCAACAGATTATTTTACTGTGATTTAATTGAAGCTTTCGGACTGAAACAGATAAGCTTTTATTATAATAGTACTGGCAAACCCAAAGTCGAGAAATAGTGGACACGTTATCTTTAGATTTAGTTTTTTATGTCTATCGCCCAATTTCGCATTATGAAACTGTAAGTTGACGTTATGATAGTAAGATATAAATTTTACAGATTTGCGGTAATCGCAAATTGTTCATAAGTTAACCTCGAAGTCGTGTGATTTCAGGGTATTCGATTATTATTTTTAGGAATATTTTTCATCCCTAGATTACACCGATAAGCTAGAGATAACTGTAGCGATAAAATAACATCAAAGGAAATCCTGCAAGGAAATAGCCCGTGTCGATAGACTCGTAGACCAATTTAAACATTCCATTAATCAGATTATAAACAAGTAAGAAATTTTAGTCGGGCATGGCTGACCATATAACATCATAACACCAATTCTGATTATAAAATGTGATTTATTTTTCATAACGTTGAATTTTACCTTGGATCCTATATATTAAGGCACTTTATTGATGAAAAACTAAAATTCTGATAGAGGCTTTATTAGGGGGGCTATAGGCAAATATGGTCCGATCCATTAAAAATTTGTTGGATGGATTTATGTTTGTGTTATGCTTATAGGTGAATTGTAGACATTCAAATAATTTTCTAAGGGGGGTACGATCAAATGAAGCCTTATTATTACGAAATTCAGCATGGTATTATTTTTTGTATTATTCGGTTATATGGGGTAATAATGGACCTATTTCAACCATTATCAATAAGCCTAGTCCTTGGACTAACAAATTTCATCAAATAATCTTAAAAATTGCTACGTTTATACACAGACGAACGGTGGGACATGTCTTAAAAAACTCAGAAAATAATTACAAGCCGACTATTTTACTTTAAGATGGGTACAGGAGTAATATTTCTGTGCATTGCAAACATCAAAACAAATCCATTGTACCCTCCCCCCTAATTTTGTAATTGTAACATTCACAATGGACTCAACTATTGCAGAACTTTAAGTAAAGACGTCAGTTGATAATGTCACATGGCCTTGAATTTGAAATTTTAATTAAAACGTGTATTAAGTTCCTGTTATTATTTTTGGAAAACCAATAAAGCAGAAAACAAACGGAAGTAAAACTACAAAAAAAAACGTAACAAAACGGTAACAAAAACAAAATAGAATTAGCAGTAAAAATATGATTAACGGACGTAATTAAATTAACACGAACCTGAAATTTTACGACATTTACTGGCACACAATTCCCATTAAACTATAAATAGAGACAACTAAAAAAAGACATAAATGTCGCTTTATCAGTAGATGATCTCTACATAATTATTTAATGATTTTCCAATTGTTTTATTGTTCGCTTTTTGTTATTTTATCTCTTTTTAGGAATTTTGTGGTGGCCAATGGTTTTATGAATTCCATAATGGGTCACAATGCAACATATACGCCAACAGCTCTTCAGCAAAATTTCTATACACCACAGTCTCAACAACAGCCATCACAACATTTAAATATAACAATGCCAGCCAATATAAATACTAGCCAAATTGGGCCAAAACCTACCACGAACACACCTTCTTCCCAGCTAACACAGATTCATCATAATGCCCACACACAACTCACTTCGTCGAGCAGGAGATTGAATAATGATGCCCTTATCAATAATCCCAATATCTTGCCTAATGCCAATAATAATTACATTGATATTAATAGTTTTCACAAACAGGAGAGTGTTGTTGCCTCCACTTCTGCCAACAGTTTATGTAATGATGGCACCAGCACAGGAAACAATTGTAATTTTAATAAACTTATTAATTCGTGTTAACAGACAAATAATTATTGTATTTCTAAGCATCCGCATTCAAATTTAAATTAAAATATTTATATGTATGTACTAAGGATTAAAAATATAAAAATTTCAACAATAAGTAATAAAACATAATCAAAATTTTTGTAAAGGTAAACAAATGTTTTGTAAAGCTTATTCAAGGATAAAACTAAAAAGAATAGTAAGTGGCTGGTTAATTTGCATGAATCTTTTATGGTTGAGAGATTTCTTTTAAATTTAAGATTTTTTATTTAAAAAACAAAAAGTTTAATTTGAAGAATTTTGTTCAGAAAAGGTATAAAAAACCTAATTTAAATAATTCTGGAAAAATACAATAGATTACAAGTTTTATTCAAAAGATTATTCAATCAATTCTAAGACGATCCTGCCATGTCCTTCCGTTTGTCTATTGAATTCACGACTTAAAGAGCTAGACTACTGAAATTTCGCATACATATTCTCTATTAAGTATTAGGTTGTTTGATATTGAAAATTGGTAGCCTCTATACAAGTAGCTCCACGTTATACTAAATACATAAATTAGTTTAATTACACAGAATTTCTTAAGGGTTTCACATAGAATAGTGCTTTTTCTATTTATACCCTAAACCACTTTAGTGGGGAGGGTATATTGGATTTGTGCTGATGTTTGTAACATACAAAAATATTCGTCCTAGACCCACCTTAAAGTATAGAATCGTTTTCTGAGTCGATTAAGCTATGTCCGTCCGTCCGTCCGTCTAGCTGGCTGTCCATGTAAACCTTGTGCGCAAGGTACAGGTCGTAATTTTCAAGATAATTGGATGAATTTGGCACGCACGTTTTATTTAACCCAAGGACGAAGCCTATTGAAAATGGTTAAAATCGGTCCATTATTTCACCTAGCCCCCATGGAACATAACCCCCCGAAAAGGGCATCTGAGCTCATAATTATGTTAAATATACAGTTATATCGATAAAATACGACACAACTAAGTTTTATAGAAGTCTTGATGACCCTGCCAAATTTCATAAAGATCGGGCCCCATTTGACCCTAGCTCCCATACAAAGTCCCCTTCAGAAAATTACTTGAATGTCCAAAATTAACTTATAAATACAAATATCGCGATGAAATTCAGCACAATAAAATATTATGTAAATATATTCACAAAATTTTATCGGGCTTGGTCCATATTTGCCCCTAGCCCCCATATAAAGCCTCTTTCAGAAAATAAGTTTTTCATCCATAAATTGCTTAAATGTATCGGAACAAGGGAATATTGAAGATAAATGCTTTATTATGAAAAATAAATCACATTTAATATTCATAACTGGTCATAACTGGTCGGCTACGCCCGACTATACTTTCTTACTTGTTTTAACTACATATGTATTTTCTATTTTATTTTTTGATACTTTTTTGTTTGGACTTTTTGAGCTTTTTGTAATATTGAACCCAAAAACATGAAATTAAGCATTAAGGACTCTAAATGGTACTTTTTGTACCTTAACTGGTACTTTTTTTTTGTTCATAGAAACATAAAATTAAGCACGTAGCATTGAATGAAAATCTTTTAAAAGGACTATTTTTTGTTTACCAATTACAGTCAAACTCGCTTATAACGATCTCGGATATAACGAACTCTCGGTTATAACGAAAAATTTTTCAATTCTCCATATTTTGCTTCGTTTCGGTTATTACGAATCCTCGGATAAAACAAACAACTGCGTTTTCAGTTCCTCAAGTACAAACAAGTTCATACAATTTTCCTTTATTTTAACGAACTTCAAAATTCTGTGGTGAAATCATAAGAAAGTATTTAGCTTTGTTGGAAAAAAACTTAAAATCGTTAAGAAATAATGGTGTTTTTTTTGTAAAAATTATTAAATAAATTTCTAAAACATATTCTTTTAATTTCGTTAAATGCCACTTTTTTTTTGGAACTACAAAAACTTCACACGTCTTATTACGAACTTCGCTTATAACGAACAAATGTGACTGGTCGAGTAAGAATCATCAACAAATAATAAAGTCCTATTTCTTGATACTTTTTATTATAGGTATATTATATGTATATTGTATATTACAGATGTATATTACAGATAGACTAATATTTTTCAATATCTTTACTGTTTATATACATGTAGGTATATAGTTTCCTGCGGTAGGTTAGGGGTTAGTGTTCTAGTCTGGTAGAACGGAGGTGGTGGGTTTGATTCCCACTTGAGGCACTGGCTAAGGAGCTCACAACAGGCCCCATATAGGCCTAGGTGTATTTGTTCAATTTTGATGTACTTATATACAATTCTTTCAAGCTAACTAACTACTGTTTATATGAAGACAGCATGGGTTATGTTTATTTCATTAATTACGATGATTGCAGCGAAGCACTTCGGGTGAAGTATTTAATATAGCACCTTTTTATTAACTTATGTGTATATTAGAGTGGGTCGGTCTCTATGGACAAAAAAAAAGTTGTGTCAGTCACCCCCTTGGATTAAAGGTATGTTAATAACATTTCCAAAAATAAAAAAAAAATATTTTTTTGCCACGCCTAGAAATACCGCCCTTTTTGTTTTTTATATATTACGCCGCCATTTTAAGTCCGATCGTAAGATGTGATATCACTATATTTATAGCTTGACTGTAGCTATATTTCACCCTTAGAAAATTTTTTAATTCGACGTGATATTCTATGCGCGACTTCTGATATCTCGGATCCTTCCCCAAAATCTAAAATTGTGGCTATACTGGAATAAAGTACATTGAATTATAAGAACTATTAGCTTTTAAAATGCTCACTTTTATGCATAAACACCTATTTTATAGATATTTGAAAATGTTCAAGTATTTATCAACCGTTCTCACAACAAACAATTAATTTGCCAGGAAAAACAGTCGAACATTTTTTAAATCAACTATATAAAACAGAAATCCTTTTCATTTTTTCAGTTACAAACCATTTCAGATCCTACTTCCTTTCAAAATAGCAGAAAGTTAACTATGTATGTATATCCTGCAGCAATATAGTGGTTTAGCTATGTCCGTCCGACTGTCCGTCCATGTAAACCTTGTAAAACTATATGTCGCAATTTTCCAAATAATTTGATGAAAATAGGCTCAAATATTTCATTTTACCAAAGGACGAAGTTGTTTGAAAATGGATTAAATTGGAGCTCTTAATTGCGGCTTGTCGTTATTTCCCTCTTAAACACTTCCATTATGATGAAATTCTGCATATCTAAATCCTATATGAACATAAATCCCTCCACCATATTTTGAGAGGATAGGTCTATAATTGATCCTAGCTCCCATATATAGTCTCTTTCAGAAAATCAGTTTTACATCAGATTTCAGTATAAATGCTTTATTAAATAATAAATCACATTTTAGATATATTCATAACTGGTATCATATGGTCGGCCATTCCCGATTATATTTTTAATAGTTTTTATTTCAACAACTTCTTTAAAAATATATAACTATTTAAGAAAAGTTAATCTATCATTAAATAAATTTATTACATTTTATAAAAATTAGTATAAACATTTTTGAAAATTGTTAAAAAAAAGAAACATGCAAGTAATTGTATGGTAAAAACATGAAATATTTCTTTAATTTTGCACAGATTTTTATAAAATAAAATGTTTAGTTAATACCTATGTACCTACGTGATTTTGTTATTAATTAATAAAATTAAATGTTGAATAAAATTATCAATCTTGTGTTAAGATAAGGACAGAATGAAATTTGTGTATTGTAAATTAATTTGAAAAAATAGTTTTCGACCATATCCCTAGCAAATTAATTGTTTGTAGTTAGAACTATACAGGTATTTTTAAATACCTGTAAAATAGCTGTTTATGCATAAAACTGAGCATTTTAAAAGCTAATAGTTCATATAATTAAATATACTTTATTCCAGTATAGCCACATTTTTAGATTTTGGGGAAGGATCCGAGATATCAGAAGTCGCGCATAGAATATGATGTCGAATTAAAAAATTGTCTAAGTGTGAAATATAGCTACAGTCAAGCCATAAATATTGATATATTATATGTTACGATCGGACTTAAAATGGCGGCTTAATATATAAAAAACAAAAAGGGCGGTATTTCTAGGCGTGGCAAAAAATATTTTTTATATTTTTGGAAATGTTATTAACATATCTTTAATCGTAGGGGGTGACTGATTCAACTTTTTTTTTCGACCCACCCTAGTGTATATGTATATTTATGTTTTACAGTTTCAAATAACTCGAGACCTTTATTATAATAACTACGTATATTAATTGGCTATAAAATGCATTTCATATGTAAACCAATCCTCTTGGTGGACCTTTAGGATTGATTCTAAACAATTTTTTAATATTGCTATTTAGGTGCATTTTAAGAAGCCTACCTAATGTACTGTATATATGAAAGTCTGTATTTTTTATGTAAACAAAAAACGAGAAATATTACAAAAGTAAAGCAGCACAAACAAAACTAATTACAACAAAATAATGCTTACCCCTTCTATATTTTTAATAAAGCTTTTCTTTAAATATAACAAACCACTTATTATTATTTAAACATTAATTACAATTTCCTATAGCCGAGAACCACTTTTCCGCGTAATAATAATAACAAAAACACCACAGATAACAAAAACACTACCAGCTGACAGAGCCCTGCGCCGACAAATATTAACGGCGGCGGCGACTGACACTAAATATGTCGGCGGCGGTTTAAAATCGACTGTAAGCCGGCTAAGTTTTCAACTACGTTTAGTTTTCAACGATTTTAAATAAAAACGGAATCCGAGAGATCAGAAAGTGGGATTTTGGAAGCAAATATATTGTTTATAACAACTAACAACAAAACAGATCAAGCTCAAAAGTTGTGTGAGAAATTATGCAGGGATGAATAAAAAATTCTTAAAAATTAAAAACAAATCCTTTCTCCAAGTTTTACGAGGATCTGCCGATATTTAACTCTATCCTCCATATAAAACGTAAAAACAAAGATATTTTATTTGTTTATTTACTAGCTATACCCAGTGTGCTGTGCTACCCTAAAAGCAATATAAATAAGAAATCCAGTTAACGATTTTGATGATTCTAACTACAATGGTTTTCCAGATATACAATTTGTTACATATGGGAGATTCCACGCAAATTATTGCAATTTCTCTAAATGTTCTTCAGTAAAATTTGAAGATTCTAGCTCTAATAGTTTCTCAGATATACGAACTTTTCTATTTAATTCATATGGGAGCTCCAAGCCTCCCAGATGAAAGTCCGCCCTTTTTTCTCCAAAATGTTCAGATGAATATTAAAGTTCTTCGTGCAAAATTTGAAGAATTTAGTTCTATTAGTTTCCCAGATAAACGAATTTTTGTATTTAATTCATATGGGAGGTTCCGCTCTCCTCATTGGTAGTCCCTCAATTTCTTACCCAAAATGTTTACATGGATGTTAAAGTTCTTCCAGAACATCATTTAAAGGGATCACAAAGAGATTGAAAAATATTCCAAAAGTTTCACTTTGAAAACATTATTAGAGTGTATGAAAACTCGCAACTCTAAAGGCAAACTATTCCTATTTTAGCGGTAATTTCTTTATGATTAAAATAAGTAAGGAGTAAGTGTTATATTCGGCAAATCATTTGTCGTAAAAAAGCAAATTTCGGAAGTGGTCATATACATATATATGGACTTTGATCATTAGATTAATAAGAACGTCACCGTGATTTTCGGATTAGAGACTTAAATGTGGAATTGGGTCAATTATGGACAAAGTTCTCTATAATTTCAAGTATTTTTTTTAATTCAACCATAAATCTATCATAATGATAACTTATGGAATGATGTATTAGCTATAAACTGATTTTCTGTAAGAGGGTTATATTGGCGGACCGATCCTCAAAATTTTATTTTTCATAAATGTAGGTTTCGGTTCCTAAAAATGTTTTTTTCTTCGACATCGACATTTGAAAGCCACTTATGTGCGTTTAAGTCATTTTCTGAAGAAGATTTCATATACATATTTACATTACATATTTTCGTTCCAACAAAGTACGTAGAAAACGTTAAAATCAATTATTGAAGGGGGCAGGGTCAATTGTGGCCTATAGAGATTTCGATTTATATCGAGCCCTTTTTCAAAATGGACGTAAGCGAAATAAATTTTCGTTCAATTAGGATACTGCGTGTTTAATTTTATGTTTATATAATCAATATTTTAGAAATTTCAAAAAGTACGAGTTAAAGAACGAAAAATTACCAGAAATACGCCAGTTTAAATTTTCATTCACTCAAGTCCCTGATTGCTTAGTTTTATGTTTTTAGGCTCATTATAATAGAAAATTCAAATAGTACCAGTTGAAGAACGAAAAAGTACCAAAAAGTCCCGTTTTATATGTTCTAACTTACTCCATGCCCTACAGGTTTAATTTCATGTCTATAGGTTCAATATTATAAAAAATTCAAAAAGTACCAGTCGAAGAACGAAAAAGTACCAAAAAGTCCCCTTTTATATGTTATCACTTAATCCGGGCTGTACATTCTTAATTTCATGTTTCTAGGTTCAATATTATAAAAAATTCAAAAAGTACCAGTCTAAGAACGAAAAAGTACTAAAAAGTCCCATTTTATAGATTACTCCGGGCTCTACATATTTATTTTTATGTTTCTATATTTAATTTTATGTAAAACTCAAAAAGTACCAGTCGAAGTACGATAAAGTTCCCCTTTTATAGATTCTCGTTTACTCCAGGCTCTAAGTGCTTAATTTCATGTTTCGAGGTTCAAATTTTGTAGCAAGCTCAAAAAGTACCAGTCAAAGAACGAAATTTCATGTTTCTATGTTCAATTTAACAGAAAACTCAAAAAGTACCTTTTGAAGAACGAAAAAGTACCAAAAAGTCCCCTTTTATAGGACCTCACTTACTCCGGGATCTACATGCTTAATTTCACGTTTCTAGGTTCATTATTATACAAAAACTTAAAATGTACCTTTTGAAGAACCAGGTTCTCACTTAATCGGGGCTCTACACGCTTTCATGTTTCTTATTATAGAAAATTCCAAAAGTTCCTTTTGAAGAACGAAAAAGTACCAAAAAGTCCATATTTATAGATTCTCAAGTGTTTAATTACATATTTCTAAGTTCTAAGTCAAAAAAGTACCAGTCGAAGTACGATAAAGTACCAATAAGTCCCATTTTATAGATTCTCATTTACTCCGGACTCTACTTGCTTAATTTCATGTTTCTAAGTTAAATTTTATAGAAAACTCAAAAAGTACCTTTGTAGAACCAAAAAGTTCCGAAAAGTCCCTTAATTATTAATTTCATGTTTCGATTTCAATATCATAGAAAACTCAAAAAGTACCAGTTGGAGAATGAAAAAGTACCAAAAAATATCACTTGGTACCGGTGTTCCAAATAACACCCCATTAGCTTATTTAGTGTTTCTTGAATAAAATCAAATTTCCCGTTTTTACCCCTTTTGGTACTTTTTTCCTCCCCATTAACGAAATAAAAATTCTGTTCCAAAAAATTGCATCATATTGGGAGCCCGTTATTATGTACTCATATGTTTAAGTTAATAAACTAAAAATAATGTTTCATAAAAAAGTACCAAAAATAGGTAAAATTTTTTTTAAATGAACGACGATAAGCTTTAACTGTTTTTGTAACTTTTCTAGTTTAGGAGATTTGAGGTTACCGAATTTACGTTTTTACCCTTTTTTAACCCCCAAAAAAATCGAATTTCCAAAAATCCCGTCTTATTGGATACATTTGGTGGAAGACTAACATCTTGCCCAAATTTCAGCTCAAAGAGCTTAAACCGTTTAGGCTCTACGATGATGAATCAGTGTGTCAATCGGTAACGTTAGAGTTTTATATACGTATGTATATAGATTTCGTGCATTGAAATACCCTGTAAAAACATTGTAGTGTTCGACTTGAATTCAAGTTTCCTTTTTACTGGAGAATGCTATTGAATTAAAGTGTAATGAAAGTGTATTTCAACACTTGAAATTTAAATGTTTGACTGGAATTAAACATGTTTTAAACTTTAATTCCAGCAAGAATGCTTTATTTGGTATAGTGTGACAACTATAAGGGATCTAAAGTCGACATAAAGCCCACAATGGTTAGTACCAATATTTTGCCCAAACAACATCTACATACCTAGCAAGGTTATATCCTCTAGGTCCGTGAAGACTTTCTCTACAAAGCTATAAATTTGTATAAAAGGCGGCTTAACAATTGTTTCTTGTAAATATTCGGCCACCATAGTGTTTGGAGACAACAAGAGCTTCACTGAAAGGCACACCAGACAGACATCGCGCTCTATTATGGGTGTATGTTAGTGATTCTGCTGAGATTCCCCTGAATACGGCAATCAGCTTCCGTCCATTGACTCTAGGTGATAATATACCATGTCACCACTAGCCGACCGACCACCACCCGCCTAGGTGACTAGGGAGGTATGCAATTGCCACTCTCTTGTGGGCATTCTTCCAGGAGACCATCATGATGACTCCTCTTTCTTGAAAAGAAAGACGTTCATTACAGACAAATAAATAATTAATTAACACCATTACTTACATTTTTTAATCTTCTAGATCTCACAAATATGCCAAATCTAGATTTCAATAAACACTTTTGGGTATTAAACGAAAACAAACCCCGCCTGGAAAAACATTTTCATCATAGTTATTAACAATTTAACTAAATTAAATCCAACACTTGCTGTTTCTTTGCACAATGACCCTCGGTATAGTAGTATAGCATACAATCTTATTAATATCAATTGTTAGTAAAAAATTATTTTTTATTTAAAGAATATCATTTCTGTAATTTTAGATTTTTGCACACACACAACAACAGATTTTTTTTGCAAATAAAAAATGCAGAAAACAGTTTGGCGCGAAAAATTCTAGCAGAATTTCTTTTCGCAGTCGGCAGAATTGACATCAACTGCACTTCCCATTTAAAATACACATGTTCGATACCCTAGCCCTTTACGGTATGACATACCAGCAATGTAAAATGGTATAGCTCCGTTGACGTCAACGAAGCTGGTTTGAAGTAAAAGCAGCGACTCGAATTAGGCGCGTAAAACACGAAAATATCTGAGGCGAAGCATATATGTACATCGAACGTTGAGCAAAGTTCTACACGGCCAAATTTCAATGAGCGGCTTATTATTAGATAAAAGAAAACTTGCTTAAATGAAAACAAATTAATTTTATATTGTAAAATTCCATAAATTTAGCGAAAGTGTTCTGTTAATTGTAGAAAATATGGCAAAATTTTCAAACCGTATTAAGATGAAAAATTTTCGGCGGCGGCGGCTTTGACATTTTGTTCGGCGGCTAGGCTTAAGCCGAATTATTGGCGCAAGTCTCTGCCAGCTGATTAAGTTATAGTTGCCGTATCAAATTTGTATAATTGTCAAACTGCTACAGCATTGCCATAATGCGAAAGTTTGCATTATTGTTTGTGTTTTGTCAAAACGAAGTAAAATATGGCATCTTTGTTTTAGCCGCCATTATATATTTTTTTCTTTCAGAAAATCAATACAGAATTATCGCTAAAAAAAATCTTCCTGTATTTCTATAATCACAGAATTTGTGTGTAAAAATATTGATTATTTGAAAATTTAAATAATTTGCTAACAAAATGTCGGAAAAGAATGATGGTAATAATAGTGATGACAGTGTGGAAATTATTCCCAATAAAGATGATGTAAGTTAAAATTAATTGGAAAAGGACGAAAGGTGTGGCTATTAATAGAACTTTTACCTATTGTATTTTATCTTCTGGCAGGATATATGTGAACTGGAACATTTAAGAAAACTATTCATTGGTGGTTTAGCTCCCTATACCGACGAAGATAGTCTACGTAATTTCTATAGCCAGTGGGGCAAAGTGGTTGATGTAGTTGTAATGAAAGATCAAAACACCAAAAGATCGAGAGGTTTCGGTTTTATAACATACACCAAAGCATATATGGTGGATAAGGCTCAAGATAATCGTCCACATGTTATTGATGGCAAGTAAGTGTAAAAGGTCAAAAGACGGGGTATACAATACATTTTTGTCATGCAAAATGTTTCTACTTTTTAGAGCTGTTGAAGCTAAACGTGCTTTACCTCGTCCAGAACGTGAGGCTCAGGAGAATAAAAGTGCCTCGGTTAAAAAATTATTTGTGGGTGGCCTGAAAGATAATCATGATGAAGCCTGTCTGGAGGAGTACTTTTCAGAATTTGGAAAAGTTGTATCGGTTAAAATTCTTACTGATAAAACTACGGGCAAACGTCGTGGCTTTGCTTTTATCGAATACGATGATTATGATGCCGTTGATAAAGCTATATGTAAGTTTTTAATTTTTGTTTGGTCTGTTAAAAAAAATATTGCTCCGCTTTATTTTAATATTCTAAGTCAATTGGATAGGTATTCATCCATGTAAATATGGTTATCAAGCTACAATAATCATGAATTATAGTTTGATTCATATTTTACCTATATGCTTTATTTGGATTTATTTTGTCGGAAATAATTGCAACTGCATGAAATAGTTCCGATATTTTTCTACGTTTGATCGAAAATTGTAGTGATTACGGTCAGATTTTTGTAAAACATTACTCTTATATCAAAAATATTATGTACATACTATAATAATAATTTGTTATTTTTCCTTTAGTGAAAAAAACTCATTCCATTAAATATGTGGTGGTGGATGTAAAGAAATCGATTTATAGCAAAGAATTACAGATGAAAAAGAATCAACAGCATAGTAGCGGCGGCAATAATACTATGGGACAACAAGGCAATAAAATGCCACCGAAAGACAATCTTAGAAATAATATGCCTCCACAACAGCCGCCACATCCACCTCCATATCACGAAGGGCCACCACCAAACTACAATCAGTGGGGACCACCAGCCCCAGCTATGCCTCCACCAAATTATGGTGGATATCCACAACCTCCACAGCATCAACCACCACCCAATTGGAATTATCCACCAGCTCCCAATACTTGGAATGCACCACCACAACCACCTGGAGTGCCCCAGCCTCCACCACCGGCCTGGAATAACAATCAGTGGGGTTGTCCACCACCAACAGGACCACCAGGTCCACCCGTACCTATGCCACCACCAAATCAAATGCCTCCCCCCGGTACTCAACCACCACCAAACTGGCAACAACCGCCGGTAGTACCACCTGTGGTTGGACCACCCCCACCACATCATCCACAACAGCCACCAGTTCACCCTCAAGTACCGCCTCCCAATTTTGGTACCGGCTATCAGCAGAGTTATAACGGCGGACCCACTAAACATCAGAGTGGCATGAATTCAAATCGCATGAATCCTTACAGTGCTCCGCCAAATCCAAATAATTCATATAGTAAGTAAAATTTGGCAGAATTAATCAAGTTAAGTTGTTTACCCAAAATATATTGACGCTGCTCCGATCAAAACAGTTGTGTGGTTTTTTATAAGGTTTCCGTGAGATACTGTTGTTTGTGTCTATCTACAATTTCCTAACAGTGTTTTAAAAATAATCCCGAATTGACCATTTCTAAACTAAAATTGAACTTAAACACTTAGAAAATTTGATGTTCAACTTACCTTTGCTAACTTCTAAACAAATAAAGATATCTTCAACGGATTTTTTGGAAATATGTATAAAAATATTGAATAATAAATAAAAAAATTATCATTTTCCACATAACTGATTTAGTCGGAATAACAACGTTATTCTTTTATATTAAAAAGTTAAAGTGTAGTTTTGTTTTATTGGTTACTTTTTAAAAACACATTTTAACATACAGATGATACAAAAAAAATATTATAATATCTAAATAATCCTTGCCGTAACAAGTTTAAAATGTTAATATTTAAATAATTTATATACTTTTTCCTTATTAAGATAATGTACCACCTGCTCCTGGTTATGGTGGATATAATGCTGGACCACCAAATGTTAAACCGCCAGTCAATAACAACACCGGCCCTGGACCAGTTCCCAATCCCATGAGTAATGGTGGAGGACCATCATCAAGTGGCAAATATCGACGCTAAAATCTAATGGATAGCAATCAATAATTTACAAAGTAAAAGGTATGATACATGCTTTTCTTTTTTAAATATTTTTTTCGAAAACTTAGTTTTAGTATTTACCATGTTAGTTGAGTACTAGTACTCCTCATAAACATTAAATTATTTGGATTTTTACCCTCAAAAGACGTTTTCGTTATTAAACAAACTCCTTGTTGTAGTTTAGTACAAACAATTTCTATAATTTGGCAAAGAATTTGTATCATTATGTTCTAAAGCTGGAACTTAAAATAGTATAGATGTTTTTCCTCAATATATACCTTCATTATTCAATACATTTCCTGTTCAAAAATAATTAGCAAAGTCCAGTTACAAATATTTATTCAAGACGAATGCATGTTAAGTTTAATTTATACATATAGATATTTTAATAAAGAAAATTTGATTCAAGTTCTAGGTCTTATTACGTTCGTATGTAAAATACTTTTATAATTTCTATAAAATATTTTAAATAATATAACAAAACTAAGTTCGTATAGTTTCCAATAAGAACGCAATTTATTTACTATGTATTTAATACATTTTAATAACTTTTACAATTAAGTAAAAAAAAATTTTAGGTTTTATGATACAACTTAAAATAATTTTAAAATATACTTGAAGTAATAGTTTCGTTGACCATATAAGATCAACTCTTATTGAGGCTATTTATTTTTCTTATAAATATATATTTCTTAATTAATAACTTTTTCATAAATTTTCATATATAAAATGTAAATAATTTATACATATTTTATTACATTCTCTTTTTAATTTAGGTATGTGTGCTACATGCTCAAAAATATTAGAATTTATATATTAAGTTTAAATAAAAGCAAAAGAAATAAAATATATAATAAATATATTAAATACAAGTTATTACTATATAAAAAATTAAAATAGACAACAAATACAAATTAAGTACACCCCCAAGAAAGAAAAGGTATTGCATTAAAGTTTATTTAAACAGTGTCTAAAAACTAAATTAGAGTAAAAAGAAATTATTTTAAAAACTTTCAAATAAAACAAACAAATAAGCAGCTTTAGTTTATTTATAAAATTATAATTATGAATTTAATTAAAAATCTAACATTTATAATAGAATATAATAATATCCCTTTAGGAACTTTTGATTGATCATTTATAATGTTTATAAAAAGTGGAATTTTTTTCAAAGTTTTCTAAACAACTAAAAATAAATTTTTCTTGAGAGGAATAACTGTTAATATAGAAATTTAAGAGAGATGCCTGTAGTATATTATATGCAATCGTTTGTTTAAAAACTGAAAATAAACTTTCCACTTATTTTCAGAAGTTTGGTAGGGTCACTCACTTGTTTTTTTTTACAATACAATAACTTTCCAAATATTTTGAGATAATATTATTATTTTCTCTTACAATCATTTTAATTATTACAAGTAATTTTAATTGTATTGAGAAATTACAATTACTTATAATGTAATTGACATCCACCAAGCCTATAATGCTACTAAAAGAGTACATTTATTGCATAAATCATATCAATTTTTAAGTACAATTCCTTATTACATTCACTCACGAGCGATTTTAATAAGTTTTATTAAAGGTGAAAACAAAAATTCGCGATTAAAAGAAGAAAACAAATTGGTGATATATGAAATTGTATGTTGAAGCATACCTCCAATCCCCTAAAGAAAAAACTTTCATTGCTGATTGAAAGAATATAACATTTTAATGATTTACATTTCAAATCAAATAAATCTACGATTCTCTTTGAAGGAAATCTATTAAATAAAAATGGTAACATTTTATAGACGTAAAAAAATGCTTGGACATAGGAAATGATATATAAAATTTGCTTTTCCTGAGAAGAAAATCATAAGTTTTTATTGGGATATTATTGTAATAAAAAAATTAAGTTTTTTTCGTTTAATAAGTCTTTTTCATCCACTACTGACAATTAGTTGCAAAAATATACATATAACAAATAAAAATAGTTTGTGTTAATTAAACATTTAAGTTTATGCAAAACAAAATATACAGAATAAAAACAAAAAGACAACAGCAAAATTTGTTGTTGTACTTTAATAATATTTTACGATTTTATAATGAAAGTAAACATTAAATTATTTTTTACAAAGTCGCTATACTAATATCAATATGACATTTTAAAATTAAATTTTTTTTTGTAAGAACTAAAAAAAAATATATAAAAATATTTGATTTTATGCAATATAATTTGTTTAATAGCTAATTTTGTAACATTAATATGTATACAACAAATATTTTGAACTATCTTGCCTATTTTATATCTTTCTTTTACCATGACAAAGGTCGACATGGATCGAACATTAATATTTAATTTAAAAAAGTTTGTTGCATTTGTTACATACTATTAAAAAAATAAAATAGTATATAAATTATACTAACAGCTCAAAATAATTAAAATAAACTTCAATAATTACAACTGATTATAGGTAAATAGAATACCTATCAAAATATACTGAATTTACAAAATACATACTTTCGTTATTATTTTATAAATATTTTGAGTTTCATTTATCCAAGACTTTGTAAAATTTAATTAAACAACTAAAATAGTTTTTAAAACAATAACTAAAAATATATATAAAATTCATTTTAAAACAATTATGCTTATGAATTATTATAAACTATGTAAGTTTTTTTTTACAATTGCCTTTAACTATTTTAAACAACAATAATAATATGTTTATTAAGAAATTTAAACATTTCTATGCTGCTCTCAACTAAAATAATATTTAATATTATAAGATTAATAATAGAAAAACAAAAAAAAAATCAAATTAAATACTAAAGTTTATTATAAGTTCTCTATACTTTAAAGAGTCCTCTTAATTATTTTATTTTTTTTTTTTTCTAATGTATGTATTTGTAAAATGTCTGAGGAAAAGAAATAATCGCAATTTATTGTTGTAATTAACAGTAATATTAATAAATTTAAAATTAATTAAAATAATATGTATTTTGTGTATATAATAAATAAAATCATCAAAAAACACACAGTTAAGTATAATTATTGTTATTTCTTATATATGTATAATTTTTCTTTATTATTTTTCTTTATTTATGTATGTTCTAGAAGAAAGAAGATTTTTTTACAATTATTTTTATTAAATATTTAATACTTGTAATGTTATAAGTATTATTTTTTTCAAAATTCTTATCTAAACTACTAACAACTCTTAATATTGTTTGATATTATTAGTTCATATTATGTCTGTATTATTACCATAATATATAATATATAGGTATGTTCGTTACCAATTTTAAGTAACACTTAAGAAATTGCAAACTATTGCACAAATACAACTTTATCTATATATATAAAATTCTAACGTTACTGACTGACTGACTGACTGACTGACTGACTGACTGACTGACTGATTCACTGACTGATTCATCATCGCACAGCCTAAACGGTTGAAGCTAAAGAGCTGAAATTTGGACAGGAGGTTGGTCTCCCGCCAAATAGATCCACTAAGACGGGATTTTTGGAAATTCGAATGTTTAGGGGGTAAAAAAGGGTAAAAACGGGTAAATTCGGTAACCTTATATCTCCTAAACTAGAAAAGATACAAAAACAGTTTAAAGCTTATCGCCGTTCATTTAAAAAATAAACGGACAGGTGTCTGGTACTTTTTTAAAATTCGGCCCCTTTAGGGAATAAACGGGTAAAAACTGTATTTTGGTACTTTTTTCGCACCCCATGTATCTTTTAAACCAGTGCACATTCAAAAAATATTTTTGACTCCTTCATAACTTAACGAAAAAATAAAAATATGAATTTAGTACTTTTTGGATATTCGGACGTTTAAGGGGTTAAAATTGTACCTATTTTTGGTACTTTTTTCATAAAACATTGTTTTTGGTTTATTAACTTATACATATGAATACATAATAACAGGCTCCCACTACGATGTTGCAACTTTTTGGAATAGAATTTTTATTTCGTTAATGGGGAGGAAAAAAGTACCAAAAGGGGTAAAAACGGGAAATTTGATTTTATTCAACCACAATGATCCAATTTAGATAAAATTTTTAAATTTAGAAACACTAAATATCCTAATGGGGTGTTATTTGGAACCCCGGTATCAAGTGATATTTTTTGGTACTTTTCATTCTCCAACTGGTCCTTTTTGAGTTTTCTATGATATTGAAATAGAAACATGAAATTAATAATAAAGGGACTTTTCGCTACTTTTTCGTTCTACACAGGTACTTTTTTGAGTTTTCTTTAAAATTAAAGCTAGAAACATGAAATTAAGCATGTAGAGCTCGGAGTAAATGAGAATCTATAAAATGGGACTTTTTGGTACTTTTTCGTTCTTCAAAAGGTACTTTTTGAATTTTCTATAATATTGAACCTAGAAACATGAAATTAAACATGTAGAGACCGGAGTAAATGAGAATCTATAAAAGGGGTCTTTTTGGTACTTTTTCGTCCTTCGACTGGTACTTTTTGAGTTTTCTATAAAATTTAACCTAGAAACATGAAATTAAGCATGTAGAGCCCGGAGTAAATGAGAATCTATATAAGGGGACTTTTTGGTACTTTTTCGTCCTTCGACTGGTACTTTTTGAGTTTTCTATAAAATTTAACCTAGAAACATGAAATTAAGCATGCGGAGGCCTTAGTTAATGAGAATCTATAAAAGCGGACTTTTTGGTACTTTTTCGTCCTTCGACTGGTACTTTTTGAGTTTTCTATAAAATTTAACCTAGAAACATAAAATTAAGCATGTAGAGCCCTTAGTAAATGAGAATCTATAAAAGGGGACTATTTGGTACTTTTTCGTCTTTCGACTGGTACTTTTTGAGTTTTCTATAAAATTTAACCTAGAAACATGAAATTAAGCATGTAGAGCCCTTAGTAAATGAGAATCTATAAAAGGGGACTTTTTGGTACTTTTTCGTCTTTCGACTGATACTTTTTGAGTTTTCTATAAAATTTAACCTAGAAACATGAAATTAAGCATGTAGAGCCCGGAGTAAATGAGAATCTATAAAAGGGGACTTTTTGGAACTTTTTCGTCTTTCGACTGGTACTTTTTGAGTTTTCTATAAAATTTAACCTAGAAACATGAATTTAAGCATGTAGAGCCCAGAGTAAATGAGAATCTATAATAGGGGACTTTTTGGTACTTTTTCGTCTTTCGACTGGTACTTTTTGAGTTTTCTATAAAATTTAACCTAGAAACATGAATTTAAGCATGTAGAGCCCAGAGTAAATGAGAATCTATAATAGGGGACTTTTTGGTACTTTTTCGTCCTTCGAATGGTACTTTTTGAGTTTTCTATAAAATTTAACCTAGAAACATGAAATTAAGCATGTAGAGCCCAGAGTAAATGAGATTCTATAATAGGGGACTTTTTGGTACTTTTTCGTCCTTCGACTGGTACTTTTTGAGTTTTCTATAAAATTTAACCTAGAAACATGAAATTAAGCATGTAGAGCAATTGGTAAATGAGAATCTATAAAAGGGGACTTTTTGGTACTTTTTCGTCCTTCGACTGGTACTTTTTGAGTTTTCTATAAAATTTAACCTAGAAACATGAAATTAAGCATGTAGAGCCCTTAGTAAATGAGAATCTATAAAAGGGGACTTTTTGGTACTTTTTCGTCTTTCGACTGGTACTTTTTGAGTTTTCTATAAAATTTAACCTAGAAACATGAAATTAAGCATGCGGAGGCCTTAGTTAATGAGAATCTATAAAAGGGGACTTTTTGGTACTTTTTCGTCCTTCGACTGGTACTTTTTGAGTTTTCTATAAAATTTAACCTAAAAACATAAAATTAAGCATGTAGATCCCTTATTAAATGAGAATCTATAAAAGGGGACTATTTGGTACTTTTTCGTCTTTCGACTGGTACTTTTTGAGTTTTCTATAAAATTTAACCTAGAAACATGAAATTAAGCATGTAGAGCCCTTAGTAAATGAGAATCTATTAAAGAGGACTTTTTGGTACTTTTTCGTCTTTCGACTGGTACTTTTTGAATTTTCTATAATATTGATCCTAGAAGCATGAAATTAAGCATGTAGGGCCTGAAGTAAATGACAATCTATAAAAGTGGACTTTTTGGTACTTTTTCGTCCTTCGACTGGTACTTTTTGAGTTTTCTATTAAATTGAACCTAGAAACATGAAAATAAGCATTTAGAGCCCGTAGTAAATGAGAATCTATAAAAGGGGACTTTTTGGTACTTTTTCGTTCTTCAAAAGGTACTTTATGAATTTTCTATAATATTGAAAATAGAAACATGAAAGTATGCATGTAGAGCCTGGATTAAGTGAGAAACTATAAAAGGGGACTTTTTGGTACTTTTTTGTTCTTCAAAAGGTACTTTTTGAATTTTCTATAATATTGAACCTAGAAACATGAAATTAAACATGTAGAGCCCGAATTAAGTGAGGACCTATAAAAGTGGACTTTTTGGTACTTTTTCGTTCTTCAAAAGGTACTTTTTGAATTTTCTATAATATTGATCCTAGAAGCATGAAATTAAGCATGTAGAGCCTGGAGTAAATGAGAATCTATAAAAGGGGACTTTTTGGTACTTTTTCGTTCTTCAAAAGGTACTTTTTGAATTTTCTATAATATTGATCCTA